ACACATCACGTTCAGTAGGGTCAAGCTAAACCTTTGCATTGAACCTCTGTATGTTACATGTGTTTATGCTAGCCATAGACTTCTAACACATACATGCACACACCTCTCTGTGCTCAGGCTTGCATCATGCCCATTAAAACAAAATGCAGAACCCATGTCTTTGCTATGATTATTGAAACATTATGTTTTGAACCCTAAAGGTGGCTCCTTGTTCAGCTTAAAAGTGGCTCCCCTGAGCCTCTGCTAACTCCAGATTCTCTGAGGTCTGCTCTAAGAACTTTCTTACTGCCGGAGGGCGAACTCAGCTAAAACGTGTAAGCAACAGTGTGAGAATGCTATCTCTTGGCTAAAGATTTACCACTCTGATTGATGCTGGCTGTCTGTTTTATAGCCTGAAAGCAATGCTAATGCTCACCTCAAGCCTTCTATGTGAACTCTGTCTAACACAGCCCTCTCTGATCCAGAACATCCTTTAAGCTAGCCCTCAGAACACCTTGATTAAACACTTAAGGTCGTTTCGACAGCCTAAGGCAAAGGGTATAGAAATACTTATATTCAAAACCACCTCTTAAAGCTCCCTCCAGAGAAAGTTGTTTCACATTTCACCATTTGCACTTTGATTATGTAGATGTTTTCCACAGTTAATATCATTTATTATGCAGTTAAGTGTTTAGTATTCATTTTACAATGGTTTTATAGACTAAATATGTAATTTATCTCTTTATATAGGTATTACCTGTATCTTTGTTTTCTTAATTGGATTATTGTTGTCGTTCCGAAACAGTAATCAATAACAATGAACTTGAGCTCAAACATCACAACCAGGTTTTAAACAACAGAATTAATCAACACTTTAATTCAGAGGGATTTCTTATTTTCCAGTCACTGCAAAAGCTGTGATTATTTCATAGCCTTTGGGTAAAGCTAACCATAAACTAGAGATTTCAGGGCAAATGACCTAATTCAATGTGAGGTTCTGATACTACATTTGAGTTGAAAGCTTTCTCCTTATGAAGCTGGTCTGCACAGGGGACAGTCTCGAGGCGGACCAAGCAGAGCACAAAAAAAACCGTTAGAAAATAATTATGGGTTGGACTGAGTGCTACCCGGAGCACAGGCAATGGTGCTGTGTTAAATGTTGCTAAAACCTCTGGCTTTTATTCTCCCTCAAACAGCATTAGAACCCCCTGACAAGCAATATAAAATCACTGAGATATGTCTTTTGTGTTTTCATGACCATAGCTATTTCTGACTGAAGTCCACAAAAAGCCTAATTTCTATCCTTTTACAAAATAGAGGATTAGTATACCAGCAGATCATACTCTTTGTAAGATGTCCAGTTAAGTCTAGAGAAAGGTAAACCAATTGATCTCATCTTTTTAAATCCACTGTGACAGAATGCCCCTGAAACTTGGCAGCAAGGAAGGCCAAGATATTTGGGCAAATGGCTTCTCCGGCTGGTGATGTGGCTTGGGCGGTACAACAACCCAAAGGATCCTGTTTGTAGTTCAGTGTCAAGGTCCTCCTGGCAGATCCATTAGTCTGGGCTGATGAGACATGGAAAAAAAGGCCATTTTTTCCTTACATACATCTGTCACTGTGGCCACAGATCGGAAGGACAGACACAACACGCCAAAGCTCCTAAATGTAATGTACATAACTTCGGCACGTAAACCAACAAATAAGCGGCCAACCCACTACCAACTGCGTTTACTTTAACCCTAACCCTCAAAGTAGAGGTTTTGATCAAGAAAAAACCTAAGTCCTACATAAATAATTGCATATCTGAAAAAAAGGGACCTGTACCATAAACTACTCATAGAATTGGCCTCTACGAAATCGATCAATTTAACCAAACAGTGTTCAACCTCATACACTCACAAAAACCCAGACCACGCAGGAATAAGAAATGGACATTATTATAGGGATGACAATGTCCGTTTGTCCGTTGGTTTACGACTATGGCCCGGAATAAAAGAACCCAACTACTGGATGGATTGCAATGTAATTTGATAGTTCTATCATTGGGGAGACAATGATTCCTAAAGACACTGGCAGTGAAATGTCTCAACAACTTCAGACTGGTTTGCCGTGAATGTTGAATGTCCACATATGAAGTGAAGTTACTATTTTGTGTCTAATAAACTTGTATGTCTTATAAACTTGCAAAAATAATGACACCCCAATCAGCCATAGTCGTACTTTGTTTTTAATGCTAATTTGTATTATTTTAGCATGCTAAAAACCCACTACTCTGAGATGGTGAATATTGTAGCGACCTGGTACCAGCATGTTATTAGCGCAAAGTTGTGCATTCTCCAAATAATTGACCGCCATGTGCAACATCTGGTATTCCAAGAGAGACTTCAAAATTAAATCACTATCTGACACAGGTCTGTGGCTTTTTATCTCTCCTTAGTTAAACTCACAATAAAATGAAACTGATCACATATGCTGATTATTTTGTTCCTGCTGGGACATTCGTCTCTCTAGACAATCTACGGTTCCCATGTCCAAGGAGGAACCAGAGCAATCAGGACAGTGGCCCAGACAGCCCATTATGGCCTGTCCACCCCCACCCTCTTGGTGCTTCATAAATCTCACTCTGCTAGATAGCAGTTCCTAAATTGCAAGATACGTTGACCGAGAAGTCAACCTCGAGGGACATGGCCGCCCACGCAAACTCTTCCACATATACACCAACCCCCCCCCTCACATATAGCTCGTCATTTACCCAGTTTGCAGTATGACAATGCGTGTTCTTGACACTGTAGCTACAATCAAACAGCTGGGTCTAGACTACCAAGGTCAATAACTTCTCACAGGGGCCAAACAACAACATCCGACTCTGGAGTTGAACACATAATGATCTAGGGTCATGCCTGCAGACACTTAAAAACTGCTTGAAATACTCTGTGCTGGAATGAGATACAGCATATTAATCTATGATACCATCTGTGCTCAATGTGTGGTGGAAAGAAATCAGCATTTTAAGGAAAAAAGCAGGTAAAATATGGATTTTAGCCTGACTTGGAGGAGACTAAACCATATCACGGTACCCTGTTCACACATCCCAACTGAGAAATAAAAAAAATAAGCTCTAATTTACAGCAAGTCAGAGTCTTTACATAGAAAACGTCAAAGGAAGTAAGCACACGCAGAACAGGAGGCTGCAGTAAAGCCCACGAAGGGGGTTATGGGATATTATAGCTCTCAGATGTGTTTGTTTTGGCACAGCCTCCGAGTGATGTCACCATCATCACCATGGCTGTTGCTCCACTTCTTAGGCCCAGTAAATGACGACAGCTCTACATATCAACCACTTTGGCAAAAGTTCCTCTGAGTTCAGAAGTTGCTCATATTGCTGTAAGTACTTTGAATTATATGAAATGTTAACATCCAAAGTGGAGCTCTCAGATGAATCTGGTGAGCAGATGCTGTCAGGCCAGACTTTCAGAAACGGGATCACAGAGAGAGGAACGGCTGTGCGACTAAGGCACAATTATGAATATGCATCAAACAAAGCATTCAATAATGCATCACTCCAAAGAGGTTCGGGTATTCAAAGTTGCATGAGAAAAATTAATTTCCCCTCGAGTTAAGAGTTAACACTTGACATTTGAAAACCTCAAATAACAAATCTGAAAAGAGAGCAGGAAATGAAGACATCCACGTCCTTGAAGACTTCGACTTCCTCTGACCAAAAGCCACATCGCAAAAGAAACCGTTTCCCATGCAACTTCTTTACTCTTGTCAACACTTAATTCAACAATTATGTAATTTCTCCTGGCAGGGGATACATTTGAAAAGCATCAAGTGAAATGTGACTCATACAAAGAGACAGCGAAATTACAGAAAGACTCATCGAGGCACGTAATCAGTTAAAGATGTGCAAGATGAGATATCTGAAAGAAAATGTATTGACGCACGTAATCAGTGTAAAGATAAGAGCGGGGATAAAGACAGGGCCAAGCTTATGCTGAGCTTTCTTGAGTTGTGCAAGCTGCTGGCTGCTAGTGGATGCTTGTATGGACAAGCATATGGGAGTGCTAAACAAAAGATTTGACAGTGGGGAGGCAAGGTAAATAGTGAAGGCCTGCTTTTGTGGTGATGCAAATACTAGCAGTGTTCACTTGATTTGTCACTGTAGTTCACTGTGTACATATGGGAAGTTACTCTATCCACACTATTGACACATTACATCATTTGGTCCCAGTTCATCCAATTAAAAGATTTCAACTTTCATGTTCTCATCATCAGCTGAAAAGAATTATAAAAGGCCTTCCCAGTCTTTGCTTGGTTTAGCCACCCAAAGCCTCTTTAGTTGATTAGTAATTGTGTATGCATTTTCAAGCTAAATGCTTTATTTTCAAGAAACTCGATGAGCACTCCTCTGATAAACACAACATTTTAATTTGTGCTTTTGCATGTTAAAAAGCTCAATTAAATCAACTAAATTAACTTATTTATTGTAATTATCACTTCTTTAGTTGAAAATGGTCCTAAAAATGACTTCTGACTGAACTTGACATTGTTGTTTCAAACAGCAAGAGGCAACCTTAACCCTAACCCTGCAATTTCTTCAAACACTGACTGCTGCCAGCCAAACAGCACCTCCAGGTGGTGCCAAGCCCCAGCTAGGGGATGGGGAGATGGGGAGATGGGGAGATGGGGAGAGACTGAGGGAGAGCCGAGGAGCGAGAGGGAGGCTGCAATGAGGAGAATCATGCGGACAAAGGGGTTACAGGAGGAGGGAGTCAAATCAGGAGAAGGTGCTGAGTGAGCATGCCTCTCTGTGTATGTGGAGAATATGTTTATTCTTGTAATGTGTACTTAGACAGGGGGAGATACAAACAGGAAGAAACAAACCAAATGTTCTAACAACATGTCATGTTAAACAGAGCCACGTTTTTTGTCCTACTTTTCATGTTCTGTTATTGATGGTTGTCAGAGTTCAATGAAGCATGCTTGGCACAAAAACAAAACAAGAGTCCACTCACCACTTTCGCTCTTCTCGATCACGTCCACCGTCTCGCCGGCCTTGAGGCTGATCTCGGAGTTCTCCTGCCTCTCGTAGTTGGCCACGGCCACGTACTGCTCCAGCACCATGGGCTCCGAGCTGTCAATCCCTGAGGGGAAGAAACAAGCTGTCAGCCACCTGCCAGCCGTGGCCCCCCGAGATCGTCCCCCGCAACCAACTACACTGTTGCCGCCTCGCACCCGGTACGCCGCCATCGGCCAACCCCCGCTGCCTGCCGCTGTTCCTCTCTGACCAATCAGAACGCGAGCTCACGACTTGGCTGCATAGTCCCAAACGTCTGGCCATATAGCTGAGTCGACCCCCGGCCCACAGCAAAGGACAGAGGAGCATTGGAAGGAATCAAAACAAAAGGAGGGAACGGGATGAAAATATTTGCGGGGGCTGCATCTCACACCTAAAGTAGATCCATGACCAAACTTAAAAGATCCAAAACAAGTGAGGAGAGAAAGAAGAAGTGGAGGAGCTGCTAAAGTTTGGAGGGGAAGACTGGGGAGCCAATGAGTGGAAGAATGGTGAAGTTTCCCTGTGGAAAATCAACAGTGCGGTTGAGAGGAAAGGCCTCCCCTCTACTGCCTTTGGGAGGCAGCCGTTGGACGGCGGGTCGGGAGGGGGGGCGAACACACCAATCATGGTAGTCGGCACTGCTGGCCTTAAATAGAAACATATGAGGGGACGAGAGAGAAGGGGAGAGAGAGGAACAGGGAAGGAGGCTGGGTCCATGTTTATGTGAAACAAAAGAAGAAAGCATTTGAGTTGGGGTTAGGCCACTCTGTTTTTTCTCTCCCCTTCTCTCTGATGTTTAACCTCTTCATTACCAGCAGTGATTTCATTTACTCAGTTCACGTGGTGCTGATCTGATCCGAGCCTGACTCTAAGACTTTCTCCTTGGCCACAGAAAGATGACCCACGCAGATTACACTTCACATCCTGTTGTGTTCTGGGTATCAATGATGTGATCAGGGACAGAAGATTTATACATACTGACAAAATAAATAAATCTTGTTTGGCCATAAGAATCTGTCCCAAAATGTGTTCAGTGGGTTAATCAATGTTATGATTCCCCATAACTAAGCCTAACGTGAGTAGGTCCAAAGAGTGTCCAACAGCTGATCATAAGAAATCATCAAATGACTCCACCTACTCCCCAAATAAAATATATTCAGAATGCTGTAATCTATTGATTTACTTATTGCAGCCCTAAACTTAGGATGCCAATTGTTTATTTAATAAGTTATTCTTTAAACATTAGCACATGGCAGGTTTTGTCAACAAGCAACTTCAAACCCCCTTCAGCTTGAATATGGCCTCTCCACAAATGCAGAAGTTTGAATGGCTTTATTGAATATTGGACGTTGACCAATAGAATAGGAAAACAAAGCAGTCTGTAACACCTCATTTACCTCGCACTACACAAAACATATTCCTTACTAGAAAAAAGTGTTTCATGATTCAGAAGTGTTGTGTCCCACCACGTCAATGTATGTCATAGATTGTTTTCAAACTCTTTTGAGGGTCTACATAACAAAATTACCAAGATTGGACAAAAGTTGGAGCAAGATCAACTGAAATGTCTTTAAATGAAATGTATTATTTAAAAAAATAAATAAATAAAAGTTACTCTTTTGAAAGGAATCACTCATGTGTTCATCTATGTAAGTGAAACATATCAAATTAGCATTTAATCTAAAGGGAAAACTGTTAACAACATTTTTAAAAAGGCCTTCGAGCGCCTCTAAAGCTCAGTAATTAAAAGGTTGAATCTCATTTGTTTAATCAGAAACAGAATGTGCTGTAACTTTTTACTGGAGAAAAACACCCAGGCTCCAGATCACAAGACCTGGTGTGGAACCATCATTCCTGCACTATAGGTAGAAGTGTTTGCTAGACGGATAAACTACTGTTTATTAAGTTGTTACGAACTTTATGTAGACTCAGGCTAGATGTTATCCCTTTGCTTCCTATCATTAACCCATTCCTTCCTTCAGCAAATCTCATGTATCCCCAGAAAGAAAGAAAAATCATGTTTAACTCCGTCTACTTTAACTTCGGCTGTGTTCAAAACTTTTTTGATTGTAAATCCTGCACAGCACAATAATCCTAAAGAAAATAAGTCCTTGCTTGCTAGATAGCTATCAGACATAAAAAGACACATGTTGGCGACGAGATATGGAAGATTCTTCACCTAATGTTAAAAAAGACAAGACAAAAAGGCCTGTCAGCACCAGCAATGACACAAAACCGAACTCACGGGGAGTCTTTGATGAGCGAAAACACGAACGCTGGCTAATTACTGCGACTGAGAATAAAAGTATGGAGCATTCTTTGTCAGCAAGTTTCTCCATATTCCCACTATCGACTGCATCTGAGATGAGAATTCTCTGCTGTCAGCCTCTTTGTCATATTGTCAATGGGATTGGACCTTGAACATGAATTGTATGTGTTAAGCTGTGCAAATCCTGCAGGTTATGGCGCGTTTCCACTACACGGCCTCGCTCGGCCTCGCTCGGTATGGCTAGGCCTCGTTAGGACTGGCTCACTTTATGGCGCATTTCCATTACAGTTTAGGAACTGGGGTAGTATCTATAGTAACGCAGTGTAGGCGGAGCCGTGACGTGATCTTCAATGAGAACCCCAGAAAAACAACACAGCCGTTAGCTGTTAGCACTCAGAGCTCACAGCTCCTTATATATGTTCAGAAACTAGACAAAAGTTAAACAAGTACAAACCACAGACTGCCTGTGTCATGGTGAATACAGTCGCTGCTTTATTTATGTCTGTATAGGCCGTTGTTGTGAGTGTGGATGGTCGGAGCATATACTGCGTTAGCTTAGCCAATCTCCATTTAGAAAACACGCATTTTAAAAGGTTTTCCGCCTGCCGTCTGTCTGCAGACTTGTCAAAGCATTAATTCATGGTTTTTACTAACCGGTATCAGTATGTTGTTACTTCGGCATCATTTTGAAACGTGTATTACAATTAAATCACGGTCAAATATGTCCATCTTGTTGTAGTTGTAGCCCCCTTGCCAGCGACGCTCTCTCTAGTTTAGCATACTCAGCCCGACTCAGCCTCGTTGTCTCTGGCCCTAGACCCACGATTTTATGAGGCCAGACTGTGAATTAGGACCCGCCGGCCGGTACTAGGCCAAGTGGAAACGCAACCAAAGACGGGCCGCTGACGTCACAGCCCTCTTAAACCGTGCTCCGCGCTGTAGTGGAAACGCGCCATTAGATGCCACTTTCCATACACATCTAAAGGAAAATGTCTTGCTAAGAGTCAACATAAAGTCAAGTGTGTGCTATATGTTCACAGAGGCAATGTTATAGTTGTATGAGTCTGAAACAGGTTGCAATGCATGTATTTAGGCAGCCTGGGAGAATAGTTGAAGCTTTTGCGCAGTGCTTAAAACACAATTAAGCATCCCTACATGTTGTTACTCAAATAAACAGGCAGGGAAAGCTCATAACTTCAGCTCCCCACTGGCTCAGGCTGGGCATTCATCTCTGTCTTTCTTTAGCATTCTCCCCGGAGGCAGCATAAAGAAAAGAAACATGTTGTGGAGAACGTAAGCAGCCTATGTAGAGGGAGCAATCAAAGTCAGCCTGAGGTAATAAAGCAGCACAGATCCAGCGACTTAAACACTTTACACTGTTGTAATGGCAACCACGCCTTGTTGAGAAATAGCATGAATCCTAAAGACCTGTTACATACCACTTTTACATATTCCAATACTTTTATGGCACAAGATTTCTTGTTGATGTCAGGGGAGTTGTTTCCTCCAAGTTCTTGAAATATGGTCATTTCCATTCAAAAGGGATTTCACTTTGTTATTCCTAAATAGTATTGACACACTGATAGCTCTAATATAAGGAAACAATATGCGTGTCCGTCTCAAATACAGCTTAGCCTCAATCACAGTTAAGCGCCTCGAAGAACATTGGTTAAATATTCACCAGATGGGCGATCGTATTTTTGTCGTTTATAGGACAGAGAAACAAAGTTATTCCCTAGGACATCTATTTGCAACAGGGACGATTCTTTGCTCTTGACCCATCATTCCTATACTGTACAACCACAGTTGAATGAGGTCACAGGCACTGATCTACAGCCATGATGCAGACAAATGTAAAGAACCAGACTTGACACCTCATTTCAATCCAAGGCGCTTTGCCACATGCAGAACTAAAGTTCATGTTCCGGCCCTCTGGCACCGTGCCCAGCTGTTGTTGGTCAAGCAGCTCTGAAGGATGGATGGATAGACTGTAGAGAGAGGCTGAATGCAAGCAGAAGGGTGGAAGGAGAGGCTCAGGACAGCGCATGCAAAGCAGATGTCGAGAGAAAAGCTGAAGTGTGAAATGAAATAAACAAACAAAAAAGCAAAAGGGGATGCAGCTCCCGCTCTCACAGTGGTGCATGCTTATTCAACATGTTGACATAGACACACAAGGCTACCTGAGGCCTCTTTCCTCGGGCTGTCTGTAAAGCCGTACATCCATACTGCAGACGGAGAGAAGGAAGGAGAGAAGCAGAGAGAGATTATTCAGTTTGACAGCATGCAGAAGCCACAGCATGGTGAAGCAGACCTTCATAACATCTACTGAACACAAATTATACGGATCTTGGATCCAAAGTGTATTCTTCAAAGTCCTGGCTCCCTGTTTGCTTCATGCTGAAGACAATAAAGTGCATCTGAGGGCAAGAGACTGGCCAATGTTTTAGTAACAACCCAGACCCTCCCTCCTTCAGACGCTCGCTCCACCCTTCCCATGATCCCCTTTCCTCCACCTCTTCATATCTTTCTGTTTCTTCCATCCCTCTATCTGGACCTCCTGGAATGTCTGAGACGGGCGTCAGCTACTTCTTAAGTCATTCCCGACCCCGCAGCCCCCCTTCTCCAAAAAAACATCTCAGGCCCCAACCAGGAAATTAAACGCCCTGCATCAGAGAAGACAGGGACAAGACTGGAGTGCAGAAGGTAAAGCTACCCTGGTGTATTTAAAGGAAGCCGCGATTGGAAGAATGATTTGAGATCCAAATAATATTTTATTGTGTGGAAGTGAGCCAGCGTTTGCACTGCAGCAGTTCAAC